GAATTGCCCAGGCTTTGTGTTGAGACACACGGGGGTTTGAATCCTGACTGTCCCTTATCAGATTGTGTTCCTATTTAAGTTGTATCATCTCCTTGTTGAGAAGAGTGAGATAATGCCTTTGAAGGCTTCACTGCATTGCCTGCCACATAGTAGTTATTGTTACATATTAATCCCAGTTGTTTATTGTTATTTTATTAGTCATTCCAACTGGCAACTTTACCAGTTGCTGAAGCTGAGGGCATATGGGAGCATTAGAAGGGAGGACTCACACCTAGAAGCAGTAACGTACGCTTTTTGAAATTTTATGATATATCCCTTGCTGGTTGTTTTCAGTGCATGCCTGTTTTCCAGATTGTTTTCAGCAGAGAAAGGCCTTTAGGAAACCTCAGGAAGATGTGTGTTTAGTTCATGGAGAAGCTATGACATCGTGTCCTATTCTTTGTGGATTTTTACAAGGATTTGGAATCCTGATTGGAAGCTATAGGTGGTAGCTTTGTCTGTAGAAATTAATGAAAAGGAAAAGGAAAGGAAAGGTACAAACCTGGGATGGAAAATATCTCCAGGAATTTGAATCAGTGGTATCAGATGGTACCTTCCAGCTCTCAAAGCTCTTTCATTTCTTTATTATATAACCATTTCTCAAACATTCATGTGCTGAGCATTATACTAGATATTAAAGCTATAAACATGGATAGAACACAGACTATGCCTTCAGGCAGTCCACTGTTCATTGTGAGAGACAGACACGTGCATAGTTGTAACAAATTGTAGTAAATACTCAAATAAAGATAGTAGACAGCATTTGGGAACAGAGAAAACCAGGTCTTACGGGAAGAATATGAGTTGATCAGCCAGTGTCATGTGTAGGGGTGAGATATGTAGTGGGCATTTATTTCTTGAGCAAAGGAAAGAGACAAAAAGAAAACCTGATGCCTTTTTTTTTGTTTTGGGAAATGGTCTCTGCTCCTCTCTTTCTCTCATGATTCCTAAAACGGAAAATTTCCCAAACACAGGAAGAGAGTTTAGATCCTGGGTAGCCAGAACTTAGGTCTGTATCCATATGGTAAATAATTATTGAGTGTCCGTCTAGAGCCAACACAATCAAGTAAACTCTATGAATTTAAATAAATTTTGCATACTTTGAAAAAAATCCCGATTAGGACAGTGACTATTGATATTAGATCTGTCCTTTCAGCCATTATCACATTTTTGGTTCAGAATTTGTTACTCTTGTATCTGCACTAATGCATTCTTCTCTTAGCTAACTTTTATCAGTGTCCCTTCAGGTGTGTTCCAAAGGCCATTTCTAAGTACATTCTTTCCAGGTATTTTGATGTTGTTTCATATTCCTTGTAGTTCCTTGTAGTTGAACATTTCAGTGTTGGCATGATGAAATGTGGAAGCCTTAGGTAGTTTCTTGTGCTAATCTTCAGCAATTTATAACACTGTATATATCAAATTTTCTCTCAGAATCCTATCTACAGTTTTCATGTTCTGTTAGTTTGGTTGTCAGTGTGGGTGGTAACATATATAAAATATATTAATATATGTTAATAAATAATATATATATCCACATACATACCTATCTGTATGAGGTACGCCTATACTATACATATGCATGCATAATGTATACATACATATACATGATACATATATACATAAACATATACATACTATAAATCTGTACATAAATGCATACATACCTATCCATACATATACATTATACATGTGTATGTGCATGTGGTTTTGTATATGTATGTGTTTGTGTAGTCTATTGTATATTTTTTTGTCTAGAGAGAATACTCTTAACATGGGTGTTGTATGAAAGATAAACATTACTTTTATCCAAAATTATTTAATCCAAAATTATTTTGTATTATGGCAATAGCCACTTTAATACCTTTTGGCCCTATATGTATATATTTTTTAAGATTTTATTTATTTATTTGACAGAGAGATCACAAGTAGGCAGAGAGGCAGGCAGCACAGGTTCCCCGCTGAGCAGAGAGCCCCATGCGGGGCTCAATCCCAGGACCCTGGGATCATGACCTGAGCTGAAGGCAGAGGCCCTAACCCACTGAGTCACCCAGGTGCCCCTTGGCCCTATATTTTTTAAATAAATTAAGGGCATTAAGTATGCTTATAAGTAGTTTGCACTTTCTGGCCTGGCTTTTCATTTTGTCTTATGGCCTTATCCTAGTTTTATACTTGCACCATAGAATTTGTGGTATCTTCTTGTGTTTTTCTCTGTAAGCTGTTTTTAATCATTTATGCAAGAAACATAGGATATAGATGTATGTTTAAAAAATTGTTACATGTGAAGATTGAGTCATTCAGGAAAGCTTATGTTATCGTAGAATAATAACACAAGTTAAGAGTTAGAATGACCCTTTTCCCATAAAAGACTAATATATATTACTTTCAGTGGCAGGGTGTTACAATATATGATTTTGACAGGTTTGCAGAAAATAGGGAAATTACAATGATTAATGCATTACAGAAACCTGGGTGCCGCCTTGTCCATGTTTGCCACATGGTAGACTTTGGTTAGTCAGACCTAAAAATGGGAATGAAATTTCCTATTAAGGCTCCACAAAAAGGAGATCTTAAACTGAAATAAAAGCTTTTCAAAGAAAATACAAACCTTCTGTAGGTGGAAAATAGCTGAAGTTTTTAAAGGTGATATGATCCCAGTGAGACTGTAAGGAGGAAGAAACGTAGAGACATGTCATAGCACAAGCCTCTCCCAGAAGCTCCGGACACAGAGTGGAAAGGCAGATTGGAAGACTGAACATGACTGAAGGCCTAGGATGTGAGCTCAAGGAGGGACAGAATTTTGAGAGCTTTCAGGCTGTTAGTTTTTCATGGTGGTTTTACAGTTTTGTTTTTTTTTCCCTTTTGCTGACTTTTGTCTCCAGTGTCACAGAGGAACACCACTTCGGTTTTTGCTCCATTAAAGTGTTAAATGTCACGATAAAAGAGGTGACTTATCCATACTCAGTGTATTATACAACTGCCTTTGTGCTGAAAGGACTATGTCATGCTGAAGGAAGTTTTATGTTTTATTCTCTTAGTCAAAAACTTGATTCTTCAATGACTTTATTCATTCCCTCTGGGATTACTCAGTGTTTACGTTCTTGCTAATGGCAGGGTTCTTATAACAACGAGCCCTTTCTTGTTGGGAGGTTTGATAAACTCAGAAAGGCTGGATTTTATTTATTCAAAATGTGTGAACTTTACGGAAGCAAAACAGTTTTTTGAACTTCAGGTATTTGTTTTTGTCTAGACTTATATTCACCTGTTTAGTAATCTTGAGGTGGGCAGATTCTTCAGAATGCTTCTGTGTGAATAAAAAACGTTGTTTTTAGAGATATGTCATTTACCTCTATTGCTGTCAGTAGATTTACTGGTCCTATAATAAATGTAGGATCACTTTTAAGTGATCATATTGGTGCCTGTGAAAAACATTAACGAATTTCCTAATAATTTCCCAGGAAATAGGTAGGTAGGTCATGGTAGTTAGGTCTCAAGGGTATGCACAGTTTTCAAAGTGCTATAAAACTATAAGTAGATTTCTTTGGAGGTCTGCTTTCTCAGCAGATAATAGAAGACTACAACTTGCTGCTTACCTTCCTAAAATTGACAATATATTTTCAAAGAGTTTTTTCTGTGAACAGCTTTCCAAGTAGTATTCAAAATAATTTACATGTCAGTCCTCCCCCACGATCTCAGAGTCCTCCCACTCCTGTGCAGTTCCCAAATGATTATTTTGAGCAAACCAGAATGTCTGTGGACTTTGTTGAGAGCTGTCCTTAGAACTTGATGAGCTGGTTCTTAGTCAGTGATTTTGGGGTGGGGACCACTCTTTTTGAGTTTTACAATTTCTACATCTGTTTTTGCATCTTTTAATGCTTTGTCTTTGAGAGGAATGTTTTCTGACTGGCTTTTGGCCTTGTGTTAATTTTCCAACCAACTGCTTTGCCTCTTTCTCTACAAGGAGTACTCGGGAAGTCTTTTCCAATCTTGTATATAAACAGAGCTAGCTTTAAACTATCCCTGTAGTTTAGAGTATCACGGGAGTCTCACAAATTAGAAAGAGTTGAAGTCTGGCATATGAAAATGTGTGTGTGCGCATGCACACATGCGTGTACACAGGCGTGCTCATATGCAGTCTGGGGAAAATACAAACTAGTGCTTATTTTAGTCTTTCATTTATGACTCAGAATTAACCAACCTGTTTACCAACTTATCTATAGATATATACTGTCTGCTAATTCTGTGCCACTCTGTCTCAGCAGAAGGATAAAATACGAAAGTTTATTATTACGTAGTTCTTGCTGACTGAGAGGTGAAAAGCAAGATATGCATGTACATTAAACAGTGAATTAATAGGGCAAGAAAGTATGTGATTCTTCTAAATGTCAAATCGATGAGCATCGGCCCAGGAGTGTAAGGAATTCAAGGAACAGAAAGAAAAATGAGGTTGGGGAAGATTAGTGAGGGCTTCATGAAGGAGGTGGAGCTTGATCTCTGCTTCTAAAGATGAGTGAATAGTGAGAGGACAACAGTGACAGGAAAGGGCATCCTGTCTATTGGATGGTGGATGCCACTGATGTGGCATTGAACTAAAGCATAAACCTTCGTGTTTGGGGAGAAACATAGGATGCTAGTTGGATTGGAAGGATGTTCTTGGAATAGTGGAGCTTACATAGGTTGAATGGGACAGAAACTCATATATATTTGATGATGAGGAATTCATAGACTTTGTAAAAAATCATACACATTCTAATTTTTACAGTTTCCTCCCTGTACTTGGTTTTGGCATCCACGAGTTTCTGAGAGAAGTCAGCAATGTTAAATATTTGATGAAAATCTCTGTATTTCAACCCAAGCTTAATATTAGTATTTGCGGAAATGTTATGTAAATAGGTCAACATGTAAGTGTAATGTTGAATTCGCATGTGAGAAAACTTAATTAATTATGGTGAATTTTTTCCTAGGCCGGACCTGATAGACATGAATACTGTTGCTGTTCAAAGCAACCTTGCAAATTTAGAGCACGCTTTTTATGTAGCAGAAAAAATTGGTGTTATAAGACTTCTGGATCCTGAAGGTGAGCTGTTGTCCTGACTAGGTATAGACTGGCATGAGAGTCTGATTAAAAGGAATCTATCAACATTTGAAATAATTTTATGTTGCTGCTTATAGATGTTGATGTCTCCTCACCTGATGAAAAATCAGTAATAACTTACGTGTCATCTCTCTATGATGCATTTCCCAAAGTCCCTGAAGGTGGCGAAGGTATTGGTGCAAATGTGAGTATTGGTTTTTCCATCCTAGAAGGTGCTGATTCAGTAATGACCAGTTGACTGAGTTATTTGATAAAGCTTTTTACAGTATTTAAATATCAAGTATTCTTTTTAAAAAAAAAAAATTTATTTATTTGAGAGAGAGAGGGGGAGGGAGCACAAGCAGGGGGAGGGGCAGAGGGAGAAACAGGCTCCGTTCTGAGCAGGGAGCCCCACATGGGACTCAATCCCAGGCCCTTGGGATTATGACTTGAGCCAAAGGCAGACACTTCACCAACTGAGCTACCCAGGTACTCCAATATCAAATATTCTTTAAAGAATTTGAGTTAAGATGCTATTTAATAAGCCAGCCCTGTTTGCATTTTCATGACACTATTCCACCATTTTAATTAAAGCATAACTCCAAAACAAAATTTGTTCTTTGTCATAAGTAAAGTAGGCCATACATATTCTTTTATAAATGAAAGCTCTAAACCACTGAATTTTGGAGTTTTTCATTTTTAACCTGCTGCTGTTTTACATTGGCAGTGTTTGATATCCTTCTGTGTATGCAGAATTTCTCAACTTCTGAAATCACTTTTAATGTTATCGACTCTCATAATCTCATGAAATAACTTGGCTAGGAATTCTTTCTCCGATTTAAAGGCGATATTTAGAGGAAGATTATTTGTCTTTGCCAAACTACCAGAGCTACTTAGTAAGCAGGGTGGGATGTCCAGTATAGGGAGTTTTGGGCTCCTTATATGTCTACTGTTTCCCAAAGATTTGTGTGATTCAGTTCAACCATGTGTGTTGTAGTGGTTTTATGAACATGTACTTAGGCATTTTTGGAAGAGAACAGGAAACCCTGTAGGGGTTATGAATTTGAAGATGAACCCCTTTACCCTGAGCTTCTCCCCTTCTCTCAGATTTCTTCTTCTTCTTCTTCTTCTTTTTTTTTTTTTTCCTATTTTACTTTGAAGATTCTGGAATTCATCTTGGTGAGCTCTCTTTTCGGTCTCTTTCTCACCTCTGTGTGCTCTTGTTTCTAAATTTATTTCCATTCTCTTCATCTTCTTCTTCCTCTCAGGGCTTTATCCTCTCCTGATCCCTGAGTAACCTGCTCCCATGCTCATCCCCTGCTGTGCTGTCTGCCAACAAGTCAGTGTCAAGTGTTGCTTGAGAGGGTTTCTTGCAGCCGTTCCTTGTCTTACCTTCTCATTCCCTTCACCCTGTTCCTAACTGTTATCCCTTCACACTTGGACTAGGACGACAGCTCTTTGCAACTTTTTTTTTGCAACATCTCCATCTCTTCCCATTCCCAACAGTACTGCACATTGTCATCAAATTGATCTTCCTAAAACGTTTTGTCTTTATCTTGGAAATTTTCAATGATTATATATTGGCTTGTAAGGTGAAATCCAGTCTAGTCATTCTGACATTTAAAATTCTGCGTATGCTGGGACGCCTGGGTGGCACAGTCAGTTAAGCCTCTGCCTTCAGCTCAGGTCATGATCCCAGGGGCCTGGGATTGAGTTCTGCATCGGGCTCCCTGCTCAGAGGGAGCCTGCTTCTCCCTCTGCCTGCCCCTGCTCGTGATCTCTTTCTTTCTCTCTCTGTCAAATAAATAAAATCTTTAAAAAAAATTCTGTATATATTAATTTGCTTACCTACTTTTTTAGCTGTAGTCTTTCAACACAGACTGCTTGTAGTCAGGGCATTTCTATCTAGTTCAGAGTCGTGACTCGTGACTCACTCGGGACTCCCTATCTTTTATCCTCCCTCCTCCACCCCACCCCCTGCCACCAAAGAATTACTTAGTGGTTGTTGCAGAACTGCTCAGGGACTGCCTTTCCTGAGAATCCTTTGGTGACCTTTTTGAGGCACATTTATGCTTACCCAATTATTATCTCAACCCTTAGTGTATATTACCTCTTTCAGGTATTTCAACACTTAATTAAATACTGCTTTTCATTTTGATTAGCTGTTTATATTACGACTCTCTTGCCTCCCCATCTAGACAGTGACTCTTTGGTAAAAGGTATTATTTCTTAAAGTATTAAATTCTTATTGTAACACTTAGCACAATGCTTTGAACATAATAAACACTCATCAGATACTTAATTGAACATAGCAGGTGACAGCCTTCCAGTTTACTCCATTTTTAAAGTTTGTTTAATGAGTAATCCTATCATATACATTTCCTATAGTTTTCATTCCTACCTACTTTCCTACATTCTATATAGATCTTTGGGTTTCAGATAGACAGTGGATTTAGATCTAGACAATGGCAGCTAACCTGGCTTGTCCACACTATTACTCCCTCTTCCTGGGTGCCCAGAAAACACCCCAAAATGATCGCAGTGTTCTTCCCTGATGCATTTGGATGCAGCCTCAGAAGCCTTCTTAACACAGTGCCCCAGTCAGCCACTATCTCTGGATCAGAAGTAGCACTCATTAGGCTACTCTTCATTGTCAAATGTTTGCTAGCATGTTTTTAAAGCTGTTTATGTGGGACTGGGTAGAGAGTGAGAAGATGTTGAGCTGGTTCTGACTGTTCTGCTGAAAGACATAGAAATTCACAGAATGACCTCTAAGTTGTGTTAGATATGACTGTTATTATCTGCAGATATGGATCTTTTCTGTCATTTTGTTGTTTTAGGATGTTGAAGTCAAATGGATTGAATACCAGAATATGGTGAACTACCTCATTCAGTGGATTAGACACCATGTGACCACAATGTCTGAGAGAACATTTCCTAATAATCCTGTGGAACTAAAGGTCTGTGTCACTGTAGAAGTTACAAAGGATTGAGTTGATTATTAAACTTTTTTTAAAGAAATATTTTTACTTTATTTTATTTATTTTCTTTTAGAGGGAGAGAGAGCATGTGAGTGGGAAGGGGAGCAGAGGGAAAGAGAAAATTTTAAGCAGACTCTGCACTAAGCATGGAGTTGGATGTGGGGCTCGATCCCATGACCCTTACATCATAACCCGAGCCAAAATCAGGAGTCAGATGCTTAACCAACTGGGGCACCCAGGTGCCCTGATTATTAAACTTCTAAATAATGTTATCATAATTCAATAATTCCAGGAGTTTAAGAGAAATTGCCCTTGGCAAGCCACTAGTAAATAAGCAATTTTTAAATTTATTCATCTCCTACTCAGAGAAAACAGAGGTAAATGTTAATAATCAAAACTTAATAGCAGCAACATCTTAGAGATTTATAGTCCCTTAGCTTTGAATTGTTGAGAGTGATAAGATACAATTTGAGAGACCCTGAAACTGACATTGCCAAAGTGTTCTTGGTGCATGGGGAGGGCTGGAACCCAACCAGATAGACGGCTGTGGCGGGGGTGGGGGGGTCTCTGGGAAGCTGGGACAAGTTTAACAGTGGTTGGGAATGTGCCTGTGGTTGAACCCTGTTAAAAACTGCTTCACAGGCTTCATTTTGTTTAGCAAGAGATATAAACTTTATTTCACCATGGAGTAAAAGTATGAATGTGACTTCCATTATAAATGAAATCATTTAATAAAAACATTTGCTACTGCCTAAAAACAGGTCCACCTCTTTGATGCAAAGACATTATAGAAATATAAAAGAATTATAGACATGTACACTTACTGAAGAATATTGTCTCATTTTATATATTTGGAATTTTAATAACAAAGTAGTCTGCTTTATTTCAAGAAACTGATAATGTGAATATTAACAACAAAGTCTAATTCCTTAAGTCATAGGCTTTTTTTTTTTTTTTTTAAATCAAATTAGAATTGCAAAAACTGTAATAATCCAGGGTGGATCCTGTTGAAGTTATTCGTTGTGTTCATGCATCAGTGCAAAGCATCTGTGGAACAGTTTTTATTCACATTGCCATGGGGAGTTGGTCCTTGGCACGAAGTTACTTGGCATGTGTTGCTGTGATGATTTTTAAGTGTTCTAAAGTTGTTTGTGTGATGTCTCCCTATGTGGATGCAAACCTTTCCAGGGCCAGAAAGATTTCCCCCTTCTCTCACGCCAGCCACCATGCATGGTGTGTAGCATATAATGGCATCATGAACTTATTTTCTAATGGACTTCCTGAAACATTGCATGTTGAGTTCAAAGCAATTTTCAGATTTCAAGTTCAGCTTACTTCCAGATGGATTCCTATTGTCAAGACATTTGGGTAAATTTGTACTGGCTTCTGATGAATGTAGATTCTTAAGGATTTGGAAGAATTTTGAGGACTATACAGATTACTTGCTGGTGCCTCGGATAGCACATAATACACGGAAGAAAACGTCATAGGAAATGCCAATAATTTCATTAGCCAATGAAACATGGATGGGAATCCTTCATAAATGTAGCTGTCTGAGGTTTGACAGGGAATTTTTTTTTGGGGGGGGGATTTTTTTTTAAACAGCATGAAATAATTAGAACATGCTTATTAAACGTGGATAAGTTTTATCTACATAATTTTTACAAAGGTCCTTTTTAATATAATAGGTTGTATTTAGGAGATTTTCAAATAGTTTCTATAAACCAGATAATTTAATTATATGATTGAAACTTTTATAACAATAACAGCAGCCAATAACATCTGTATTTGTTTATTAAAAGATCTGTTTAACTTGGCCAGTGGGACGTTGAAACCAAGGCTTAGCTATGTGGTGAGAATTCTGTGTGATAGAATTCTATTTTCAAGGATAGATCTATGATACAAAAGAGAATAGTTTTTTCCTTTATAGGAATTGCATCAGATTATTTTTCCAAAAACTAAAAGCTAAAGTGCAGCATTTGGAAAGAACATCTTTTATTTATTTATTTATTTATTTATTTATTTATTTTTTAAAGATTTTATTTATTTATTTGACAGAGAGATCACAAGCAGGCAGAGAGGCAGGCAGAGAGAGGAGGAAGCAGGCTCCCTGCTGAGCAGAGAGCCCGATGCGGGGCTTGATCCCAGGACTCTGAGATCATGACCTGAGCCGAAGGCAGCGGCTTAACTCACTGAGCCACCCAGGCGCCCCAGGAAAGAACATCTTTTAAAGTCTATATTTTCTTGTTTGTATGAAGAGAGATGTTTAGTAGAGCCCTGCCAAGCACTGCCACAGTTTATTATTACCCAGATCCCCTCATGGCATATGTTGATGCACAGTTCACGGCAGTAATTACACCCTTGTCAAATCTTGCAAACTGTAAGCTAGTCACTGATTAACTGGGAATTGGTATTGTCCTTGAGTGTCAGTTTCATAAAGGAATTCCCCTGAATGCATAAGACACGGCAAATATCATTTGAAGTGGTAATGTTATGCGGTAATGAAAATAGGTCTTTGAAGTTTGGGCCTTCATTTATTTTTTCCTTTCATTTTAGGCACTTTATAATCAGTATTTACAGTTTAAAGAAACAGAAATTCCACCAAAGGAGACAGAAAAATCAAAAATCAAACGCCTATATAAGTTATTAGAGGTAAGCAGAAATTTCTGTTGTATTGTCAGGCACAATCTTTATTTTTATTATTTTTTTTATATCCTTGCTTCATTTAAAATTTTTTTTGTTTTCTCAAGATTTGGATAGAATTTGGACGTATCAAACTACTGCAAGGTTATCATCCAAATGACATTGAGAAAGAGTGGGGGAAACTCATTATTGCCATGCTTGAGAGGGAGAAGGCCCTTCGCCCAGAAGTAGAAAGGTAGGCTGGAGGTGTTTTCTGCTGTAGGTATCAGGCTGGGTGTGGGGAGGTGACTTTTTGTTCTCTTGGAAGGAACTTCAGTTTTGGAGCCAGGCAGACCTAGGACTATCATTTATATTTTTCATGTCCTTGGCTGTGTGACCCTGGATAAGTCACTTAGTCTTTCTGAGTCTTCATTTTTTTATCCGGAAACTCTTCCAAGAGGTTTGAGGAGTAATGAGTGAAGTAATGTTTAAATAGGGACCTGATAGACTGGGTTGATGTGTGAAGTCTCATCTAATAATCTAAATTACCTGAATTTCCCATACTGAGAATATAGGGCCTGGATTCAGAAGCTGATATGTAGTTAGCAGTTAACTTACTTTGTTTCTTGCTGTATTTTTGTTACGGCCCTTTTTCCGTGGGACAATGAGAACAAGACTCCAGTCTGTCTCCCCTTAGAGGGCAGTGAAATGGCATCTAGAAAACACTCGGGAAATGTTGGCTCAAATTCTCACTTCTACAGATGCCTTTATTGCATGAAATCATCACTGACTGTTACCATTCTCTCTCCCACTATACCTGGTTGCCCGGGAAAGCACTGCTTAGACATGAGGAGACATTTGTTGAGTGGATTTGTCTCCATTATAGTACTTAACTCACAGCCTGACTTTGGCACTTGGGAAGGGAACTGTGATCTCTATTCCTCATGAGCTTCCAGGCCTCCCAATAGAAAGCCTGTGTGGTCAGGTGTGGCTCTCTTGCCCCCTCACTTGACACCGTCCTTGCTCTCAGTGGTGTAGCCACACTGACTGCCTCTCAGGAGCCCTGATGTGCCAAGGTCCCGCCCTCCTCCATACACGGGATCTTTGCATTATCTGTTCCTTTGGCAGGGAAGTCTTCATCCTCACTGTCTCTTCACTCCTGATCAAGCTCAGATCCCGGTTCCAGTGTTACTTCGCCAAGAAACTTCCTGTGGTCTCCCAAGCTCATTCAGATGTCTTGGCTCTAACTCTCCTATTTACATGTATTATTCTTTCATATCTCAGTTGTGATTTTGATTTATTTCTGTGATCATTTAGTTAAGGGCTGCCTGTTCACAGTTATGAGTTCTGAGAATGTGGAGATAGACTTGTTTTTGCTGTCTTTCGTGTTGCCAATGTTGAGTGCATTGCCTGGGACACAGAGAGGCACTTAGTACACTCATGTTCTTTGTGTTCCACACATGACTTTCCACACTGTTGAAATAGGAAATAATGCATTGAAGATATAAGAGCAAGTCCTAACTTGTCAGTTGTTTATGAAATTACTGATTACATTCCTGTTACAGTGTAAGATTCTATCTGCATAACTGGATCTAGATCCAGAATAAGCTTGAAATACCTAGGATGGACCTTTTATGGAGGAGATAATTTTGGGTGATTAAAATGATACACTAAGCTAATTATCGGAAGTAATGGAAAAGTATGTCTGAGAAAGGATAGGGAGTAGATTTTTAGCTGTCAGAATAGTAGCTGGATTTTAATGCAGTGGTCAAGAGTTCAAGGTCCAGGAGCTAGTGAATCCTGAATAAGATTTTTAGCTCAACTTGCTAGTCATGTATTCTTAGGCAAGTTCATTGACCTCCCACACCTCAGTTTCCTCATTTGTAAACAGGCTGTAATAGTACCTACTACATTTGGTAGTTGAATATGAGAAGAGGTCATACATGTAAAATGATTACTTTATTTCCTGGCTCATAATAATTGCTTACTAAATGCTAGTGCTGCTGTTACTATTTGACACTTCTCTATTTACTAACACGATATTCAAAAATTTCCTCTTTCTTGCTATCTGAAAAGAAAAATACCTACCTTTAGAGTGGAGAAGCAACAGTTTGGCTTTGTAGTGTTGGGAGTACAAAAATGTTCTACGAACTTGGTTGGATAAAGGCCTTCATTTTTCTTGACGCGACAAGTGTTTTGGCATTAACGATTAATTGCAAATAAGAACTATGTGGCATGGGAATGTGTAAAAGATAAATGAGAAAGAACCAATGTTCTTTTGCCATGTAATAATCGATTGAAAGGAAAAACAAGCACAGACAAGTTGAATTTGCGAGCATTGCATTGATAGTCTACTTAACACGTTGGCTTTTTTTTTTTTTTTAAAGATTTTATTTATTTGACAGAGAGAAATCACAAGTAGGCAGAGAGGCAGGCAGAGAGAGAGGAGGAAGCAGGCTCCCCGCGGAGCAGAGAGCCCGATGAGGGGCTCGATCCCAGGACCCTGAGATCATGACCTGAGCCGAAGGCAGAGGCTTTAACCCACTGAGCCACCCAGGCGCCCCAACACGTTGGCTTTTAAGAATCTAAAGTGACTGCAAGGATGTTGGTCCTTCTCATGTTGCCAGTCAGAGGACCCTTGATTTCCTTCTGGACTATCTAACCCTGACTGAAACTAACTCTATTCCATTATTAGTACATTCCAGTTAAGCAGAGATGAAATTTTAATAAACTGCAGTTCCTGTTGTTACAAAAAAAAATGTAGAATGACTATAGTAAGATTAGAGGTAACATTCCTGAGAACATATCATACAAAGAAAGGCCACTTTTCCAGTTAACTTAACCTGATAAATGACATGGTGGTTAAAATGGAAATGTCCTTTCTTTCACATCAAAGTCATTTGTTTATAGATGCTTCTGAGTACCAGTTTTTAGCCTTGTGTTAGTCGGGACAGACCTGGCTCTTTACAAAAGTCAGGCTGTGTTTTTAAGCTGATGATTGGTATTGCCTGAGTAGCCTTTACTAATTGTACCTGGGCTTCAGGGAGGCATCTGAGTTGTTTTTTAGGTGGCTGTGATGGGATGACTCTGGATGAAAATATTTGGCAAATCTTTTCCAGTGACGCCCTGATCAGCCTGCCTTGTCCGTACTTGTAGAGTTTTAATGCGGGCTACAAAAGGCAAACCTCAGCTAGCAAACGCATGCCTTTCGGCAAGATTCTTTTGAATAGTTATCAGCATATTATTTGCTGCGTGTTAAATATGCAGGTTGGAGCATATTTAAGGAGCCGTTAGGGCAGTGACATTTAGCTGCCGCTTTTCACCGTTAGAAGTAGAGCTTTCAGCAAACCTGCTTTTTTATCTGCTTGGAATGGTCAGAGAAGGAACATCATTTCAGGACTAAAAATGCACAGTAGTAGTTACAGCTACCGAAGCAGCGATTCCGTGTTTAGTAACACTACTAGCACCCGGACCAGTCTGGATTCAAATGAAAACTTTCTCTCGGTTAATTGTGGTCCAACACTAATCAACTCCTGCATTACCTTCGGCAATGAGTCCCTCGATGGACACAGGTATCGAATCCTTGTTGTAGGATTGTTTTGTCTTTTGGCAGGGAGACATTTTTTTCAGGGGTGGTAAACTCTGTGACTTCAAAGGGAGAGGCTTTGCTTTATTCTGTCTCTTCTTTTAGGTTGGAAATGTTGCAGCAGATTGCCAACCGAGTTCAAAGGGACAGTGTCATCTGTGAAGACAAACTGATACTTGCCCGAAATGCTCTCCAGTCTGTAAGTTAATTTTAGCAGCCATTGGGATTGTGGTGGAGGGATTGTACCTTTGGATGAACTAAAACTTCTGTGTGCCATTTGGTGGTCGATTCTTGGTATTGTCTTCTGTGGAAACTTAAAGCTTTTTAAAGATTGTGATCACTGTTTGCTCTCTTGCGGAACGGTGTGCAAAGAGAAAACCCATTTTTGAACCAAAAGGGAAAACAGAAAAGACCCAAGTAGTTTTTTCATTACAGTATTTTGAGTTTTATATTTGAGTTTACTTTTGAAACTTGTTTCATGGAATTAATGTTGAGTTCTTTTAAAACACAGGATTCTAAAAGATTAGAATCAGGGGTGCAGTTTCAGAATGAAGCAGAAATTGCCGGGTATATACTTGAATGTGAGAACCTTTTACGCCAGCATGTAATTGATGTACAGATTCTCATTGATGGAAAATACTACCAGGCAGATCAGTTGGTGCAGAGGTAAGATTCCTGCTTATTCGTGCTCTATCCTTCTGTGGAATTGCTTCATGGACACTTGCGATGGGAATGTAGACTGTGGCAGTTTTATGAAATATATTTCTTAGGCTCTTTTTAGTTGAAAATGTGTGGCACCTTAATTCTGATATATTTTGATATGTTAAATAGGTATTCTTCAAAAGTAATAGGAACAATATTTTATTGTACATATAATATTTAACACTAGTAACTAACATACTTCGAGTTAAAATATTTGTTATGACATTTGAAAAAGGGAAAATATGAAGTTATAACTCAACTTTTAAGTTTTCTATTTATCCTATCCTGAAAATGTTTATAACAAAATGTTGGAACAAATTGTATCTATGAAATTGTCTATCTCAGAGAAGTGGGTTTGAAGGTAGAAATGGAACCTTCTCAGGTTGTAGACTATATATATTATAAATATATATATATCAGATATATATAAAGCAAAAATTCTAAATGATGCTTTGATCTAGTAATTCCACATTTAGGAATTTATAATAATTTTAAATATAGTAAACTTATGAATAAATATAGAAAAAAGTTTTGTTCATGTCAGAGATATTTTATAATAATAAAATTTGGAAATATCCTACATGTCAAGCAGTAGAATTGTGTAGTAATTATATTCATTATAAGTGATAGTTATAAAGTGTAGTAATTATGTTCATTATAGTATAATAATTATGTTCATTATAAGTGATAGTTATACTTTTTTTTTTTAAAGACTTTGTGATAATATGGAAAGTGCTTACAGCACAAAGTTCAGCGAAAAAAATTGTGATGCAAAATTTTATTAATATGATTGTAGTGATTTTTTTTTTGTAGACTTTTTTTGAATAGTTCAGGTTTACAGAAAAATTGATAGGAAAATACAGGGTTCCCATATGCCCCTTTTTACCCCCTCCCCAATTATCAACCATCTTGCATTAGTGTGATCCATTTGCTAAAAATTGAGCCAATATTGGGGTGCCTGGGTGGCTCAGTGGGTTAAAGCCTCTACCTTTGGCTCAGGTCATGATCCCAGGGTCCTGGGATCAAGCCCCACATTGGGCTCTCTGCTCAGCAGGGAGCCTGCTTTGTCCTCTCTCTCTCTCTGTCTGCCTCTCTGCCTACTTCTTTTTTTTTTTTTTTTAAAGATTTTATTTATTTATTTGACAGACAGAAATCACAAGTAGGCAGAGAGGCAGGCACAGAGAGAGGAGGAAGCAGGCTTCCCACCGAGCAGAGAGCTGATGCGGGGCTCGATCCCAGGACGCTAGGATCATGACTGAGCTGAAGGCAGAGGCTTTAACCCACTGAGCCACCCAGGCGCCCCTCTCTGCCTACTTCTGATCTCTGTCTGTCAAATAAATAAGATCTTCAAAAAAAAATTGAGCCAATATTGGTACATTACTGTTAACTAACTAACGTCCATAGTTGGCATTAGTGTTCACTCTTTGTGAAAAATGCATTTTATATTATAGTTTATCCCTTTTGGTTTTTCTTTTCAGGGTGGCAAAACTGCGTGATGAAATTATGGCCTTAAGGAATGAATGTTCCTCCGTATACAGCAAAGGACGCATGCTGACAATGGAACAGACGAAACTCATGATATCAGGAATTACTCAAAGTTTAAACTCAGGATTTGCACAGACCTTAAACCCCAGTCTGAACTCAGGGCTGACCCAGGGTTTAACGCCCTCCCTGACCCCTTCTAGTGTGACATCAGGCCTGTCATCAGGTCTGACTTCCCGCCTGACTCCATCTGTCACTCCGGCTTATACACCTGGTTTCCCATCAGGCGGATTAGTTCCAAGTTTCAGTTCAGGAGTAGAGACCAATTCATTGCAAACTCTGAAGTTGATGCAGATCCGAAAGCCCCTTCTAAAGTCGTCTTTGCTGGATCAGAATTTAACAGAAGAGGAAGTCAACATGAAATTTGTTCAGGATCTTTTGAATTGGGTTGATGAGATGCAGGTAAAAGAATGTTTATTCTACCCGAAAGCTTCAGTCTTCACTGCTGCCAGTTTGTTTTCTAACTCTGGTATCTTTCTGTTTAAAGGTACAGCTGGACCGCACTGAGTGGGGATCGGATTTGCCAAGTGTTGAAAGCCATTTAGAAAATCATAAAAATGTTCACCGAGCTATTGAAGAATTTGAATCTAGCCTCAAAGAAGCTAAAATCAGTGAGGTATATGAATTTAAAATCTGTATGTATTTCATTTTAGCTTGCTGTTGTTTTGCTCTTTTTAAATAAAGATCCTGTAACAAAATAATAGATGCAGTGAGCATGAGTCAGAATTCCTTGAGATCCCTAAACTCGATGTCTTTTTATCCCATATTATAGATTCAAATGACGGCACCTCTGAAACTAACTTATGCTGAAAAGTTACACCGATTAGAGAGTCAGTATGCAAAACTCTTGGTAAGGCTTTTTGTTTTTTGTTTTTTAAACTTCATTTTTTTACTTTTACTAAGAATTTCCCTTAACTCTCCTTGGTTAAAACATGATTCTTACAATGATTTTTCTTACAAAGAATACATCCCGGAATCAGGAACGGCACCTTGATACGCTCCATAATTTTGTAACTCGTGCAACTAATGAACTTATTTGGCTGAATGAAAAAGAAGAAGAGGAAGTTGCTTATGACTGGAGCGAAAGAAATACCAACATAGCTCGGAAAAAAGATTACCACGCTGTAAGTATAGTCTTTGTCATTGAATGCCAAAGTTGTATCTCAGGTTTAGGCCTTTTTTCTAACCTTGCTTCTTCATTCTTTTCTTACATTAGGAATTAATGAGAGAATTGGATCAAAAGGAAGAAAATATTAAATCAGTTCAGGAGATTGCAGAGCAGCTACTTTTGGAAAATCACCCAGCCCGACTGACGATTGAGGTAAGCCAGAAAGTATAATGGTCATGGTTGAATATTGACATTTGATGATTACTCTTCAGATTCTTTTACTGCTGATAAATTGAAAAATACAAACAAACTTTTATTACAGCATGGCTCAAAAATCACGTTTCCGACAAATCATCATGATTCTTGCCTTTAACTATCACTTTTCTAAGTGTGTCACCCACCCATCTCTTCCCCTAAAGGTACCTTTGCTAACTCCCATGGCTAAAGAGATCTATTACAGTAACTATGAAGGCTCTTGACTTAAAAACCTTTATTTTATTCCTGACTGTGATATTGTGCACCTGATGTATCCTACTTGCCTTCCTCACCTGTCCAAAATGGGGGCAGTCCTTCTAAGCCATAGAGCTGTGTGAAGAATGGGACAAATAACATACTCTTACTTAGTACAATTCTTGGTACACATGTTCCCAGGAAATATTTGTTACTATTACTTAATAATTTTATTCATGGCTGGTTTTGTGAAGTATATTGAAACAACAACCTGGCAAAGCCTTATGGCATAGCAGACACATTTCAAATCCAGAAGTGGAGAACTGGAGTGGGATTTACCAGGTCTCCCATGTGGTAGTGGTAGTCTATTTACTTTTTAGTCCTATTATATACTAGGTAGAGTGAGTAACTTTCTAAATGTAAAGGGGGTTATATAGGAGCGAGAGAAATGTTAAACTCATGGTAGATTGCCAGAGGGAATAAATGGGGCTATGCTTACAGTGTGAGCTGCTTCAAGCTCTCACAGTGTAGGAGAGGCATCTGATAGTCTTTGTTCACTGGCACTGCCATAATACAAAAGATGACTGAAATTCTAGACCTCCACAGAAAGTTTTGGGAATGTTATATTTGACCTTCTTCATAGATAACTACAATCTTGCATGCCCATGAAATGCCATATGGGAAGTTAAAGACAGAAGAGTAGGGGGAACAGTAGGGAAAGCAAATTAGAATACTGAAAGGTGTATATACTTTTGTATGATGAGAAACTAAAAATAGAGTCTTCTTCAAGATGGAGATGAAAACTATTAGGGAATATGATTATAGGCTAAGTATTTTAATGGGACTGGGTAATGTGAATGTGAACCTGATTACTTTTATGTAGAGATGTTAATCTAATTAACTAAAAGTTTCTTGAGGGATAAAATTAAGCCTGAGTCATCTTTACTATTCCATTGGCCTATCCAGTGTCTTGTGGGTACGCGGATAATATTTAGTTAATTATCAACACTATTTCATATGTTATATGAAAAAAGAAACTAATAATCTAACAACACACAGTGATATGTCTTTTATAGCCAATTTGCTGGAAGTAGCTTAATTTGAGGCCAAGGTAATATGACTGTGATATGTTGCCAGGTTTCCAGTGCTGCATTGTATATTCCATTCCAAAAGCCTGCTTGAGCGTAGCTCCACATGAGTGAGATTTTCCAGAAGGGGGAGAATGACAGGCTTACTTAAGATAGTCATTAAAGCATCTAGATCTCCCTCTTCTGGAAGTCCGTGAATTGCATCTTAAATATAAAAGCGTGTCTTATGTTTTCTTTAGTAAGTAGATGTTCTTTCTGTTACGTTTTGCTCTTGTGAGAGATTTACATTGGATTAAAAATTCAAGTAAAAATATTTTAAATAAAAATTCTTAGTACTATGAGAATTACAATTCCAGAATTACAGTGATAAGGAATTGCACCGTCTCTTCTCCACCCTCCCCAAACCTGCCCCTGGCAAAAACAAACATCTAATTCACCCCACCTCCCCCCAAGAATTTCTAGTTTTATTTCTAGTTTTAAAAACAAAAACAAAGAGAAAACTACAGAACCATTTATTTTGGTCTGTATTTTTACATTTTTATTTTTATTTTTAATTTATATTTAAACTTTTAGGACTGGCTTTGTGCAAGTAAGAACTCTTACATAGAAGGGGCACTTTGCTACCCTAATTTTCACATCTTACTGTTACAATAATCTCATCATCTGTTCAGATAGCAGAGTTTTTAAGCCTTTAAAAGCTTTGCTGTGTATGTACGTCATCACTCTTCAGCCGGTTACAGTGGCTGTGTTTCATCCTGAAGGCATACCGAGCGGCCATGCAGACGCAGTGGAGCTGGATCTTGCAGCTGTGCCAGTGTGTGGAGCAGCATGTAAAGGAGAACACCGCATATTTCGAGGTATACGAACAGAATCACAATGTCCGCTGTTGGTATTGTGATTTTGGTCTATTTACAGAAAGTGTCTTCCTGTTTATTAAGGACATGTATGTAACGTGTGGGGGAAATAAACTGAAGTATTTTCTTTGTAGCATGTATGGGACATAGGTCCTATAGGATCAATTGAAGCCATCTTTTCAGGGGGAAATCCTTTCAAAACCTTTAAAAATGTCAGAAAATCTTGATTTTATAGATGTCTTTTTTTTTTTTTAAGATTTTATTTATTTATTTGACAGAGATCACAAGTAGGCAGTGAGGCAGACAGAGAGAGAGGAGGAAGCAGGCTCCCTGCTGAGCAGAGAGCCCAATATGGGACTTGATCCCAGGACTCTGGGATCATGACCTGAGCCGAAGGCAGAGCTTTAACCCACTGAACCACCCAGGCACCCCTATAAATGTCTTTTATAAAGAAATGTTTCATTACAGAGAGCTCTTTTTTTTAATTTTTAGAAGTTTTAAAAAATTGTTGGAATTTCTCTCCTGCTTAAAAATTATTTGGACCCTTAAGTAAAATAGAACTTCACCCAAAATATTATAGGGCCAAAACACAATATAGATATAAAATTTAGATGCTTAGTGTTTACTGATACTCACCCAGATTCAAGAGCTGTTTGGGTAAAGGAGTAATGTGACTGTTACATGGTCTTTTGATGTTATTCTCTTCTCTCTCATGAGGGGTACATAGGACTCTGGTACTCCAACTGGACAACTCTCTGCTTTACTGGCATTTGATATACGCTAACTGTCAGTTTTCATCTTCTTGCAGTTTTTCAATGATGCCAAAGAAGCTTCTGATTACTTAAGGAATCTAAAGGATGCCATTCAGCGGAAGTACAGCTGTGATCGATCAAGCAGCATTCACAAGCTGGAAGACCTTGTTCAGGAGTCAATGGTACTAGTACAGAAACCCATGCATTTCCTGTGTATAATCAGGATTAGATTAGTATTTCTTTATACTTATATGTGTGCAGAACTTTGTGTTTTTTTGGTACTCCTGATATTTCCATCTCATTCAATTAAACATGCAGTTTTAGTATTTTTTGGTACCAAGTACCACAAAAGTGTTTTTTTATGTGATTGCCTCAATATTTTAAATATTTTGACAGTGGTGTGTGTGTGTGTGTGTGTGTGTGTGTGTGTGTGTGTGTGTGTTTGAGTTTAGTCATTCACTTCACAAATAACTGTAAGCACTTTTATATCCTAGACACTGTTTTAAGTACTGGAGATAGAGCAGTGAGGAAGACAGACAAGAATCCCTACCTTCCTGGTGCTTACATGCTAAAGGGGAGCAGATTATAAACATAAATTAGTTAAATATGTAGTATAGTGGTAAATGCTAATGAGGGAAAAAAACCATCCAAACAAAATAAGGGAAAAGAAATCCAAGAGGAGGAGGAGGGGAATTGAATGTATAGACCAGCTAGGTTGTCAGGGAAGAATTTTATGATGAAATTTTATTTGTGTAAAGCCCTAAAAGAAGAGAGAAGTCTTTTACTTTTTAAAATCTGTCTTATTTGTTTCTTAGGAAGAGAAAGAAGAACTTTTGCAGTATAAAAGCACAATAGCAAGCCTGATGGGGAGAGCAAAAACAATAATTCAGCTGAAGCCAAGGAATCCTGACTGTCCACTCAAAACTTCTATTCCGATCAAAGCTATCTGTGACTACAGACAAATTGAGGTATTCTAGAAATAAACCAGTTTCTGTCATTATTCTTAGCTTTTTAAAAATGAAGTCATATTGCTGACCAGTGGTAAAGTTTTCTACCTCAAAAAAACAAAACAAAACAAAATCCCAAGACTGGGTACGGTAAAGGGTTTGTCAACAGTGATCTCATTTGGTTATTCTTTTCTCCATTTTAAAACTAGATAACCATTTACAAAGACGATGAGTGTGTTTTGGCCAACAACTCTCATCGTGCTAAATGGAAGGTCATTAGCCCTACTGGGAATGAGGCTATGGTCCCATCCGTGTGCTTCACAGTTCCTCCACCAAACAAAGAAGCAGTTGACTTTGCCAACAGGTTTGTATGCATTCGCTAAACACATAGAGCTGGGTTTGGAGGCTCTCTGAAGGTTAAAGAAACAATCAGTACTTTGTCAAGGCCCATAGGATCAGAAGGATCAGGAACTAGTAAACTCAGGGTAGTTTACAAACAGGAAGAAAAATTATAGCATGTTTTCAGAGGGAGTGAAAAGGCTTAATCAAGTGTTTGGTTTGTTTGCTTTTTTCATGTATTTCAGAATTGAGCAACAGTATCAGAGTGTCCTGACTCTTTGGCACGAGTCTCACATAAACATGAAGAGTGTAGTGTCCTGGCATTATCTCATCAATGAAATTGACAGAATTCGAGCTAGCAATGTGGCCTCAGTAAGTATGAATCTACACATCAGCCTAATCTGTCCAAGAATGTGGGGCACTCTGTGGGTGCAGTTTGTATTTGTTCCAGAATAGGATGGAGTCCAGCAGATCCATGCTAATATTTATCCATTTAATAAATATTTGTTACATACCTGCTATATATAAGGCACTTTCCAAGAATGGGGGAAATCTGGATATCCCATATTTAATTCAGTGCTTATTACATTTTGGTAGGGAGACAGGATATAGTGTTTGGACTTACAGGGATGGATATAGTTTGATTTCATTTTTTGGTGTTTTATAGTCTCATTTTTCCTTATCTATTAAAACTTGCAATTGTTAATAAAAATAACAATTTCAAATCTTTCTTCTATATATGACTACTAATATGAACTAACGTACATCAGAAGACTCTAACTTAAGATCTGTCCCATTTACATTTAGCTCTTAGTACTATAATCACTTGCTTACATGGATCCTTGATCTTCTTTAGATAAAGACAATGTTACCTGGTGAACATCAGCAAGTTCTCAGTAACCTACAATCTCGTTTTGAAGATTTTCTGGAAGATAGCCAGGAATCTCAAATATTTTCGGGCTCAGATATAACACAACTGGAGAAGGAAGTTAATGTATGTAAACAGTATTATCAGGAACTTCTTAAATCAGCAGAAAGAGGTAAAGCATGAGAATCCTTGCGTTTTTTTCCCCTGTAGGTGTTTAGTCTAGGCTCTTTTCTGCTCAGTGAGCATCAGTCTTTGGTGTGTTATGTTACTCCGCCTATGATAGGCGGACATGGGTGCTAGAACATTAGAAGCACTTGTGAGGTAGGAAGCTGCAAGGAGGGGTTCATTTATTTCTAAATGATCAATTAATAAAAAGATGCCAACTAAATATTATGTAACAAGCTGTGAATTCTCAACACATCTCCTTTTCAATATTTTCACTGTTTTGCAATGTAATGTTCAGAATGATCTTTTAGTTTTTGAAAAGATTCAGTTATTTTTCCATGTACCAAACCTGGGTTGTTTTTTTTTTTTAAACACTTGATTTTTTAGAGCAGTTTTAGATTCATAGCAAAATTGAGAGGAAGGTACAGAGATTTCCCATGACCAAACCTGGATTTTTTACAGAGGTTAAGTTAAAGGAGAATATTTTGTCTAGTTAACTTTTGTTAAATATGGTTTATTCTGGACTCTTTTGATATTATTCAGAAACAAAAATTTCATTAGTAATGTATTTTAAAAAACTCTTGAACATTAACAAATTCCTTACATTTCATTTCTAAGCATTTTTTTAAATTTTAAAGATTAATCTGCAGCTAATGTAATTCAAATTTTTGTGAACATATAACAGCATAATATATTACTCTCCTTGGACATCATAAATCAGAAATTGACACTTAAAATAGTATTAGGGAAATTTTTTTTTTTTTTAAAGATTTTATTTATTTATTTGACAGAGATCACAAGCAGGCAGAGAGGCAGGCAGAGAGAGAGGAGGAAGCAGGCTCCCTGCTGAGCAGAGAGCCCGATGCGGGGCTCGATCCCAGGACCCTGAGATCATGACCTGAGCCGAAGGCAGCGGCTTAACCCACTGAGCCACCCAGGCGCCCCTATTAGGGAAATTTTATTAAATGTTCATAAATTGTAAGGTCAACTCTATTAAGGTTCATGTCCTTAGGGTGAGATTGTGGTGATGACAGGTAACCTTAGTTTGACAGCAACATCCAGAAGACAGAAAACAATGTTTTCTCAACATTCTATTTACTTTGACAGAGGAGCAAGAGGAATCCGTGTATAATCTCTACATCTCTGAGGTCCGAAACATTAGACTTCGGTTAGAGAGTTGTGAAGATCGGTTGATTAGACAGATCCGCACTCCACTGGAAAGAGATGATTTGCATGAAAGCGTGTTCAGAATCACGGAGCAGGAGGTGAGATTTGTAAATGGGTTGGGACAGCATTAACTGAAGGTAAATGACTGTCTCAGTGACCTTCATTGTTAACTCCAGTGACTTCTCATGTGCTCAGCTTTGCCTAGTGGTCACTTTGTGAGTTCTGGTTATGTATTTATTGCTTATCATGATAAGCAATAAATACATACATAATTCATACATTCATAATACATACATAATTCAATGCATAATACATACATAATACATACATAATTGCAATATAAGGTAAGGTATACCTTACCTTATATACCTTACCTTACCTTATATGCAATACATACATAATACATACATAATTCAGTTCTGCCTTTGACTCAAGTAAACGCAGAAATGTGCACCCTTTCACCCACTGTGATGGAGACTCTTGAGGTTTCTCACAGTGAAAGCGGGTATGTTTGTTGATCATCTACTGAATGCAGAAGCACTAAGTTACATGTTTGTGCCCGAGGACATGGGCAGTAAAAGAATTACTGATTATAAAACTGGAATGCTGTGGCTTAGCTTCTTGATAAACAGAAAGTAAAGAATATATAGCTTTTTAAGTCAGCAATTATAATATAGATTGGTTTTTTAAAACTGTTTTAAGAAAGATACCCCATCTGGAACTATAGCCTAATACCTATGTTTATTCTTTACTTTATAGAAACTAAAGAAAGAATTGGAGCGACTTAAAGATGATTTGGGAACAATCACAAATAAATGTGAAGAATTTTTCAGTCAAGCAGCAACCTCTGCATCAGTTCCCACCTTACGATCTGAGCTCGGTGTGGTCATTCAGAACATGAACCAAGTCTATTCTATGTCTTCTACTTACATAGAGAAGTATGCTACCTCTGTCATAGTATAAATTTGCTTCATGCAACTGTCACATTCATGTGTCCATATAAATATAGATATGCTGTTCATTTAAAAACATTCATAAAAGTGAATGTAATTTTCCCTTTTTTGTATTAATAATATTATTTCCATGGAGTTATTATGCTTCATGTTGAAAGGAAATGGGTGTCAGAGATTAGGGCATCTGTATGATCTTCCCACATTTTGCCTGTGGTGTTAGTCCCTCAGCTGTTGTAGCCTGGTGGATTGGTCTAAAAAAGGGTTGAAAAAAGAACACCTTACCCTGAATCTCTTGCAGAATCTGCCGGGCAGGGTGTGGATTAAGAAGAGACTTAGCTGAATGTTAATCTGGGAGTAAATGTGTCTGTGTTCCAAAACCAAGAAAGGGCTATATCATGCTTAGTGATGTGCTTCAGGACTGCATTACTGGAAGATAAACAGTTAAACTAATAGGAGACTATTGTTGCATTCTCTTTTTTAGACTGAAAACTGTTAATTTGGTGTTAAAAAACACTCAGGCAGCAGAAGCCCTTGTAAAACTCTATGAAACTAAACTGTGTGAAGAAGAAGCAGTTATAGCCGATAAGAATAATATCGAGAATCTGATAAGTACTTTAAAGGTATGTCCCTCCCTTACGGCGGTGGCAGTTGCTCAGATCATACTCTAGTAGTATTTCTCTAACACCTAGATCTTTAGACATGAACTAGCAAATATCTTAATTTGAATACATTTATATCCGTTTCATTTCATATCTCTACATAGCCATAGCTCAGTGTAAATAAGTCATTTTTAGGACAGTTCTCCTTATTTGAAATCTGCATCTCTTTGTAGATAGTAGCTTTTTATAATCAATTCATGTCAGCAAAAGGAGCTGAAGCTGAAAGTTTCTTTTAATGGATTCTCTCACTGAATGAGGTAGTTAAATTTTAAGACATCAAGGAAGTAAGTAGAGGAGTTAATTCAGGAAAGGAAAAAGTCTGGTAGTTGTACTCATCTTTATTAACATTTCTACATATAAAGCATTAAGTATGAAATTATTGCAAAGTTGAGAAATTATCTCATTGATTTTTAATGCATGTATTCATTTTTAAACAATGAGATTAGTAGATGTTTAAGAAATAGGCAATTAAAAAGACTTACTGAGGTAGCAAACTTGCTCATGAATATATTTTGTTTTATTGTTATGAAAATTCTATTAGGCTGAACTTTATAAAATTGTTTTTTTAAGATCAAAATGCAGTCAAAAGTTGACAGTTTCATATGGTTCAGCCTAATATATTGTTTTTGTATATGAAAGATAGTCTTTCCTTTATCTGATTTTATATCAGTTATTTGTAAATAAATTGTAAAATTAGGTAAATAAATCATGTGTTTACATAGTGAGTGGTTGATGCATTTTATAACGTTCACCAATTAATGTATTTTAGCAATGGAGATCTGAAGTAGATGAAAAGAGAGAGGTATTCCATGCATTAGAGGATGAGTTGCAGAAAGCTAAAGCCATCAGTGATGAAATGTTTAAAACATATAAAGAACGGGACCTTGATTTTGACTGGCACAAAGAAAAAGCAGATCAATTAGTTGAAAGGTGGCAAAATATTCATGTTCAGATTGACAACAGGTTAGTATCCTTTTTTGTTCAGTTTCAGCAGAGAGTTGTTAATGTTTATCCTTGTATTCTAGGTAAAATCTAAACTTACTAGGTTTTATAAAAACTCCCATATACAGTTTATATATATATATATACACACCTTATATTACAAGATATAGTTACCTTATATTGCAAGAGCTTTACCTAATTATATTTCTTTCTTTCTTTCTTTCTTTTTTTTTTTAAGATTTTATTTATTTATTTGAGAGAGAGAGTATGAGAAGGGGGAGGGTCAGAGGGAGAAGCAGACTCCCTGCCAAGCAGGGAGCCCGATGTGGGACTCGATCCCAGGACTCCAGGATCATGACCTAAGCTGAAGGCAGTCGCTTAACCTACTGAGCCACCCAGGCGCCCTAATTATATTTCTTTCTGATAAAGGTGGACTTTAGCAAGACAGTAAACTTCAAAATAATTATTTTTCAACTCTGTGTTGTTCAAACTATTGATGTAGTCTGACATTTATATAGTAAGTCTACTTGCCTTTTCTGCGGAAAATTATAACCAACTTAAAATATTTAACTAACCAAGATTTAGTAAGAGCATGGATCATGTGTTTGAGAGGGCTGTTTAGAGCAATCTGTACTAGACCTAAGAAGTGTGAAACAATTGAAATGACCTGATGTTCATTTTAATTGAGGATACAAGAGGGTTGAAATCATTCATCCAGTGACCAAAATAGAAAAGCAAAAGGAAATGGGATTTTTTTGTGCTCATCTTATTCATTTTAATGTTTATTTTAATGCAAATAAAATGCTTTTCTAATATAGTGCCATTCTTAAGAAGTAAAATTATGTTCAAATATATGTTATTAAATCTCTGTCAAAAAAAAAAATCTCTGTCAAATACACGATATGTAGATTTAATGTAGTGGTTTTAAAATCACAGAAACTGAGATATTTTCATTTAATCACAGTTCCAGGAAGTAGTCTCTGAGTCTGCATTGGACCCTCTGTTGAACTATGTTGTCATTATTTCAAAAGTAAACTGCCATTTTTTACAAGCTTTGGGTATTTAAGGTATTAAGGTATTTTCCTGATTTTTAGCTAGTCTCTTAGGCTTGAACCTGGAATAATCAGTATCACTAAATTGCACAAATCCAGGAGCAGAGTATTTATATGGAACTTCAGCCAGTATGGAGTGCCCTTGGGCCTCAGGGAGCTTAAGCCTAGAATTCTTTCACTTATCCCTGTTGTTACATTGAGTCCCTTGCAGTACAGTCATCTTGTCTTTCCTCTTAATGGATACTGTTGGAAATTGTGGCTCTCTTGTTTTTATTCTCTAAGGTTACGGGACTTAGAAGGCATTGGCAAATCACTGAAGTACTACAGAGATACTTACCATCCTTTAGATGATTGGATTCAGCAAGTTGAAACTACCCAGAGGAAGATTCAGGAAAACCAGCCTGAAAATAGTAAAACTCTAGCCACACAGTTGAATCAACAGAAGGTAAGTAAAAACGGTTTCTTATATTCAGGTTTTGTCTGCATGTGGTCAGTCATCATCCTTATTTGCCTTCACCTCGTTAAAAGAAAAAGTCCGCAACTATTTAGAAGAAGGTAAAGAGTAAATCATAAATATTAAAATCCTGTAATTCAAATTCATCACATACTTCGATTTCTTGGAAGTCAGTTTTGAAAGTATAAGAAATAAGAAAATAGCATGTTGGGACAGTGTTCAAATTTCTAATGGTCATTTAATCATAGATATGGAAATCTTTTTAGTACTTTGCTGGCCACAATAGTTTTGCAGGATCTCAAATAAATAAAAACAGTAGTGGTAGAAAATTGGACAGTCACATTTGACAAAGAATTGAATTCTTTGAGATTTTTATTCCATCCTAACGAGACAGTAGTGTCTAGTTTTGCTTTGATCAGGAGTGGGTGGGGGCCAAGGCCTTCAAATCTACTTTTGGATAATTCCTGTGGAGTTTAGTAATTTCTGTGTTGGAAGCCGCCTGAGGGTGGGTCACTTATGTGGCTTAATTCAGAAGTTTGTCATTTGCCTTATTACATATTAAGTGCAAAAGGCTAAGGAGCTTTACTGTTAAAGGGCATGGCTATTTCTTAGTTCCTGAGCACCTTAAGTGACTAAAAAGCATAGACTTCCTTTGTTCTTTTTCTTCTAAACTATGTGTTTGTAGATGCTGGTGTCTGAAATAGAAATGAAACAGAGCAAAATGGATGAGTGTCAAAAATACGCAGAACAGTATTCAACTACAGTGAAGGTAAGAAGATTCAGTTACTTCCATCAAATTTAATATTCAGATATGTGATTTGACAACATACTTAGAAAAAAGGAAGTTTCTGCAAGTCACTTGACTCTGTGAAACAGTGAAAACAGAGAATCTTCCTGGGAGCCCTGTGACACTTACCTCCTAATTCTCTGTGACATGTGAGTCACACGTCAGCCTCTGCTTCATTCATCTCTCTCCATCACAGACGTGCACAGCCGCACACGCACACACGTCAGAAGAGATGCGTAGCTCTGAAATTGGTTTCTTACCACTTCGTGTGTGCTTGTGTATCTCTCTCTCTCTCCTTTAGCATCGCTAGAGTAGTCCCTGGAAGAACTTGACTATCTTAGCAGACCGTTCACATGTCTAAAGCTGTTGGCCATTGCTTGGGTCTTAGCCATCCAGATCTGAAGTTCCATTGCCTAGCCCGGCAAAAGGGAGGCTGAATATAACTAGCATATTGTAACTAAATGTTTCTTTGAGCTTCTAAAGAGACTTAGGAAACTTTTCTGACCACCCTAGATGTTTCTGATTTTTATTGCCACCTTGGAAACATCCCAGGATTAGATAGTTTCCTAAGAATGTAGTTTTGTAGTAATTTTTAAAAGTTACTTAGTGACAATGAATTTTGGAACACTGAAAAAAAAATTAAAAAAACACATAAAGAACAAACTGGTGGCTGCCAGAGGGGAGGTGGGGAGGGGATGGTGAAAAAGATAAAGGGGATTAAGAGTACACTTATCATGATGAGTGCACTGAAAAATGTATCAAATTATTGAATCATTATGTTGTACACCTAAAACTAAAATAACACTGTATATTAATTATATTTCAATTTAAAAACACCAACTGGAAATTCTAGAACTGACAAAACACAGTATCTGAAATTTGAAAAAAAATGAAGTGAAAAGAAAAGTTACTTAGTCAGTGACACTTGGGTGTTATGGCAAGGGGCATGGGGCTCCTTGCTCAGCGGGGAGCCTGCTTCTCTCTCTCTCTCTCTCTGCCTGGTGCCACCCTGCCTGCTTGTGCTTGCTCGCTCACTCTTTATCCGACAAATAAATAAGTAAAATCTTTAAGGAAAAAAAAAGTTACTTAGTGAAATCAGGTTCAGTTTCTGTGCATCAAGCCACTGTAGAATGAAGCATTAATGCTTTGCTTTAATTAATTTAATCTCACCAACTCTGTTATACAGGATTATGAGTTACAAACAATGACCTACCGGGCCATGGTAGATTCACAGCAGAAATCTCCAGTGAAACGCCGAAGAATGCAGAGCTCAGCAGATCTCATTATTCAAGAGGTAGTTAAAGTGCAGGGGAGAAGAGAGGGGATATAGAAGAGAGGAACAATACCTAAAATATTATATTTATATATTTGTATTGTGGTAGAGTACACATAATAGGAAATGTGCCATTTTAACCATGTTTAAGTGTGCAGTTCAGTGGCATTTGGTGACTTTACAGTGTTGTGCAAACCTGACTGCTGTCCATTTCCAGAACTTTCTTCCTTGTCCCAAAAAAGAAACCCTTACCTAAACAGTGCATTTTATTGAGGGTTGTAAAAAAATCCTTGGAAGAGCTTTATTCAAGATTAATTATTGAGGGGGTGGGGGGCGAGCCTGGTGGTGGGTATTGTGGAGGGCACATGTTGCATGGAGCACTGGGTGTGGTGCATAAACAATGAATTTTGGAACACTGAAAAAAAAAATAAAAAAAGATTAATTATTAACTGCAGAGAATAACAAATGTACTTTTTCAATTAAATTTAGAGGAGAATTGTTATTTAATATGGTTTGCACAGCAGTAAGTAAAAAGCCCATTCCTACCTACTTGCCATTACTGGGCAATTGTGTATTTTACCATCACAAAGGCTAGTTAATGTTACGATTATTAATCAACGTTCATTAAACTCATTTAGAGTCACTGGAGATTATGTTTTTATTGTTTATTTCATTATTTGCAGTTCATGGACCTAAGGACCCGACACACTGCTCTGGTCACCCTCATGACACAATATGTTAAATTTGCTGGTGATTCATTAAAGAGGCTGGAAGAGGAGGAGGTAACAGTTAACTATGAACCACTAACTTAAAGGAACTACAGTGTGTTTGGGAAAACAAAAAAAGTTTTCATGACAAATTTACATGGATGATAAGTTATTATTTAATTAGACAATTACAGTGAAAAAGAGTAGAGGCCTAGGATTTTTCTGTGTGTTTTTGATTCTCTCCAGCAGAAGAACATTGTTTATTTTCACTCTAAGATGCAGATATTATTAAAGTTAATGTCTGAAATGGCTCTATTTAAATCATGAAATGTTGGCAGTTTGGCAGGATTTTTTTTCAGTTTTCCTATATTTGAGAAATATACTTCTTTTGAGTAGTATAGTTACTACTATTAAGATGACTACAGAAATACTACTTAAACACATTGGTTTTATACATTTTAAAGTAATTTACATTTTCAAGGATTTAAAACATAAAAGCCATTAATTTAGAAGAGGCAGGGTTTTGTACAAAATGATAGTACTTTTAAGAATTGTGGAGTTTTTTGTTTTGTTTTTATTGTTTCCCAAAAGGTATGCTGTATGGTAAAAGACTGTTTAAATACCATTATAATTTGGAGGATTTCTGTGCTTTAAGTCTATATTTTAAAAATATGTTTAGAAATAGTTATTTATAAAAATATATTGTCATAAAAGGCTGTTGTATCTAATTTTGAAGAGGTTATACTGTGCTTTATTATCTTGAAATGTTTCTATTCCTAACCTCAGAACAGACAAAAATAGTAGACAGAATGCTAAAATAAGTAGATTGTGGGGCATTAGCCACTTTAAATTAGACTGTTCTTGAACTTCTGAAGATGATTATACTTAGAGTAACTTCATATAACGAGAGAACTAAAACAGTAGTGGTATCTAAAAGGTGTTACTTTCTTATTTTCTACCTGAGTCACTATTTTAGTCTGTTCAGAATTAATAGTTTCCTGCAATGAAATCACTAACCAAGCTAATTGCAAGTCTTTATAACAAGATTCCTTTGTGCTTAGAAAGGAGAACCAGAGTATCTGTGATCAAATAATTGCTATACATCTTCCACCTGTAAAAGAGCATCTGTAATTTTAAAAATATTTTTAGTTTTTGAGATATATGATTCCACTTAAAATGCTATATAGGTCTTTTAAATTCTGTATTTAAAAATATGCATTTTCAATTGTATATTTAGTTAAATATAAGCTAAGTCCTTTCCCTCTCTTATAGTGTATCTCTGGTTGCACATAAATGAGCCACTTCCCTTAGTTTATCTGATGAGGTAATATACTAAAATTGATGGAACCAAGAGCTTTTTTAAAAAGCCTGGTATATATAAAAATTATGCTTTTCATCCTTTGAAATATAAAAGATTTATACTGAATTGAAACTCAAAACAAGACCATGCAGAGACTATAACTTAAAATATATAAGAAAACATTACTATTGGAAATTCACCACTAAAAGATCATATTAATGGAATGTCTCATATAAAGATACATAGCTCAGTTTTCAGACTCGAGAGTGGTATTCCTGAAACTGAGTTTGTGAAGACTTATATTGGAAATCTTGGTCTGAGAGCAGAATTTTTAATTATAAACATAAAATCAAAGAGGGATACAAATTAATTTGAGAAGAGGAAACAATTATAGAAATGGTAGTAGAGTATCTGTAATGGCTGTTAGATGGATAGATTTTCTAATCTGTGATGAGAGAAAAGTACATCAAAAATTAATTGATGAGATTAAAGGACAGGGTGTTTTTCTGGGGGAATAGTTAGAGAAAACTTGAGAAAGTTATTTTTATATGAGTAAATTTGAGATCTAAGAGAGAAAGTCAGCAATAGGATTAAATTACTTCTAGTAATTTGTGTGGTATTTGCTAAAACATTCAGACTTACCTAGACAATGTGAGATTATTAACAATCACTAAAATGACTGTAATTAAGTACTGAGGGTTCAGTAACAAAAATTTTTTCCTGAGAGAATTTTCATTTTTCTAACCTCACAACATGAAAGAGAAAAAGAGGACTCAAAACCTCTTAGTGACAGCTAAGTTTTAAGGGAGTTTTGATAAGCAATTGAGAAAGACCCAATTAGAAGTTATTTTAAAAAAAAACTGAAAATATAATGTTTAAGCAGGTAAAATGCTTCAGTGTCACCAGGAGTTCACCCTGATAACAAAATAAAATAGAGCACTAATTATTGCATGTTGTGATGAAATTTGTTTTTATATGAACTCTTATTATGGGAAACCATATTTAGGTTAGCAAAGAAAACAACTGAAATTCATACTGAAATTATTGGGGGATCAAAAAATTAGAAGGAGCAAAGTAAGGTATATAGTCTGTAGTATAAATTAAATTCTTGAAATTCACCAGAACCTCTCAATGAAAAAAAAAAATCTGCTATCTAGAATAATTTCTCTACTCCTGTTTACATGGTTCTAATTATGATGATCTTGAGTTGGTGTTATGAAACTAATAATCTTACGGTATTAATAAAGAAATTATATTGGAATTCTGTACTAGCCCTGATCATGTAATCCTCTAGTCAATGCAGAGTGTAGTCCTCCCAGCTGAGATTGATTCTTCTATCAGTTGAAAAAAATATTTTCTTATATTTTATTCTGTACATTGGAGTTGACTCCTTAAGTATATTTTTACAAAGATTCATGTTTAACAAATATCTTTATATTTATGGAGTATCTAAAGGTACTTGTCAAAGTGGATTTGTATGAGGCATATCATTAACAACAACAACAAGATCTGTGAGTATATGAAGCACATCTTTTCTAAAGTGCCCAGGGACTATAACTGCCTTTGCATTAGCAACTCTGATTATTATAATTGTTACAATATGGCAAGTTTAAATAAATAAGGAATTCAACTTTAGAAATTACACATTTTTATATAATTTCCCTCCTTACCCATATGAGGTATTATTTCTTGATTTGACTCTTTAAAGTGGTACCAAAATTCTATATTTTGTTTCTTTAACTAAATGAAAGAGATGTATCATTTTATTTTTATATATATTTTTAAAATATTTATTTTAGAGAGCGAGAGAGTGAGCATGAGTGGGAGGGATAGAGGGAGAGAGATTCCTCAAGCTGCCTTCCCACCGAGCACCTACCTGGAAGCAGGGCTGGATCTCACCACCCTGAGATCACGACCTGAGCTGAAACCAAGAGTCGAGTGCTCAAATGACTGTGCCACTGAGGTGCCCCACCTCCTTTTCAAAGATTTATTTATTTATCTTAGAGAGATAAATATTTTAAATCTCTGTTGGGCTAAGTATTGAAAATTGAATTTGTAAGTGTCATTCGGTTCCTATATGTTTTTAGCTTGTAAGACTGAGTTGTGTGGGAAGGCAGGAAGGGAGCTGCTGTGAGTTTTATTCCCCATTGGTCCCTCACCCATTATGTGAGATTTCAAAACTATTTGACCTCTCTGTACCTCAGTTTCCTCATCCATAACAGGTTGGGGTCCTGCTGTATCTTTTGTAAGATCCCTCATTTCTTGCTGTCAAATCCTGAGCTAGCTAATTCTTAAAACAAAATTATTCCTGAGACACCAAAAAAAAAAAAAAAAAATCATTTGGCTTAGCCAACATGACACAAAAGGGGTTTTTGTTTTGTTTTGTTTTGTTCTGTTTGTCCTCTCCCACTGCTGAATTTCTGAAGCTTCATCTCTGAAGAAGGTGGTGGTGCTGGTGGCAGTGCTGGTGATGGGAGTGGTGATCGTATTTGTTCTGCTTTTGGTTTCCCTTGTTTTTATAAGCATTTTCATGAGCATTGTTTCAGGTTTTTAAAGATAAATTTGAACAGGACAGGTTTGATGCTTGTAAACATCTCTTGTAGATTAAAAGATGTAAGGAGACTTCTGAACATGGGGCATATTCAGATCTGCTTCAGCGTCAGAAGGCGACAATGATTGAGAATAGCAAACTTACGGGAAAAATAAGTGAGTTGGAGAAAATGGTGGCTGAACTAAAGAAACAGAAGTCTCGAGTAGAGGAGGAACTTCCAAAGGTCAAGCAGGCTGCAGAAAATGAATTGAGAAAGCAGCAGAGAAATGTAGAAGACATTGCTCTGCAGAAAATCCGGGCCGAGAGCGAAGCCAAGCAGTACCGCAGGGAGCTGGAGACCATCGTGAGGGAGAAGGAGGCTGCAGAGCGGGAGCTGGAGCGGGTGAGAAAGCTCACTTTGGAGGCCGAGGCCAAAAGAGCGGCGGTGGAAGAAAACCTTCTGAACTTCCAGAATCAGTTAGAGGAGAACACCTTTACAAGAAGAACCCTGGAAGATCATCTCAAAAGAAAAGATTCCAGTCTCAGTGACTTGGAGCAACAAAAAATTAAGTTAATGGAAGAATTGAAGAGAAAGAGAGACAATGAGGAGGAACTCTTGAAGCTGATAAAGCAGATGGAAAAAGACCTAACGTTTCAAAAACAGATAGCAGAGGAGCAGTTAAAAGAAAAGCAGAAGATCGAATCGGAAGCAAGAAGAAAAATAAGTGAAATTCAGTATTCATGTAGAGAAAGTGCATTGCCACTGGCCACGTCATACAGAGGAGTCGCAGATCTTCAGAGAGAGCAGGACAGACAGAAAACAGAGGAACTCAAGCAGCAGGTCGATGAGCTAACAGTCGCCAATAGAAAGGCTGAAAAAGACATGAGAGACCTGAAGTATGAACTCAATGCCCTTCAGCTTGAAAAAACTTCATCTGAGGAAAAGGCTCGTTTGTTGAAAGAAAAATTGGATGAAACCAATAACACACTGAAGTGCCTCAAGTTAGAGTTGGAAAGGAAGGATCAGGTAGAGGAAGGGTATTCCCAGCAGCTCAGAGAACTGGGTAGGCAGTTGAACCAAACCACAGACAAAGCTGAGGAAGTCATGCAAGAAGCTAATGACCTTCGGAAAATAAAGCACAATTATGAAGTGGAATTAGAATCTCTTCAACAGGAAAAAGGGAAACTGCAAAGAGAAGTAGACAGGATCACTAAAACCCATGCTATAGCTGAGAGAAATATTCA